TAACAGGCCTGATTCAACAGAGCCCTCTGAGGGACACACACTCCTGTCAGCACACATTTCATTACCGACACATCAATCTGTCAAATAAGGAGGCTAAGTGGCACCTCGGGTACGATTAAGTGCTTTTGCATGATTGTTTTCTCTTCAGTACTTTCTTTTCCTGCCAATGCTTGGACTGTAACTGCTCTCGACAAGCAGGAATCTATAGATAGCATATGGAGTGAGAGAACATAGTCGGCATAGCATCTGATTACTTTAAAAGGGTCTTATTTAAAAATGACACTTCCTTTCATCATGTTTGAGCAGAATAGTTTTTATCTCCAACTTTTATGCTTTCAAGATGAGAAGAAATAGCTTGATTCAGAGTTTTGAGCTCTTTGCATGATCAGTTATCACACAAAACCCCAGCATCAGACCTTTGAAATGCTTTAAGCAGCCAGCCAAGTTCCGCTCTTCATGTGAAATTCCTAGTTTTTGTGTTCAGATCATTATCCTGTAAGCTCTCCTCTTTTCAGCGTGTTTTGTTTGCCATTGTTACAAATAGTGCCAAGCTTGCCCTCAGACTTTTGTGGGTATTTACTTTTTTCCTCATAGTCAAATATTTACTGTAATACCAGTTGTAACACAAGTCCAAAGCATGATTGATTCTCCAGCTGGATCAACATTTGTTTCCTCAAAATTCAGCACTTTGTTGAGTTTTGTGTGATAGATGGCAAACATTTGCAGGTGTAGGAACAGTAAGGCATTGCACCACAACTCCAGAGTCTAGTGAATCACCCTGGAGGTTTTTCTGCAATCTCAAACAGACCAACTGGCACCAGATTTAAGAATTAAGTAAACAAAACATTTGCATTTCTGGACTGTTGTCAAAAGCTGCTTTGATTGTCAGAATTCAGCAGCTTATAGTCTCATTCTGCAATAAATATTGTGCAAAATCCACTTTTTGGAACATTTTACCATATCCCCAAAGCCAGTTTTGGCTGCATCCATGCGTTTTCCTGTCTCAGCTGCAAGTTCTCAGATTTTCAACTATAGACCTGCAGAACCCTTGATACCCTTCACATCTTGCTCCTCCCCAAGAAGCTCGTCTAGGATCTGAAACCCAGCTCCCCTGGAAGTAGACCACTTTGGCCCCCACCACAAGTGGTGAGCCCATGGGAAAGGCAACCCATGTTTCCTCTTTGGGCTGCGTCCGGCCGGGCTCCATGGGTAAAAGCCCGGCCACCCGGTGCTCAACGACATGCCCCACCTCCGGGCCTGGCTCCAAAGGGGGGTCCGGAGGTTTTCCGGGCATGCACCTCCAATCAGGAGAAGACCTAAAGGAAGACCCAGGACACGCTGGAGGGACTATGTCTCTCGGCTGGCCAGGGAGTGCCTTGGGATTCCCCTGGGGGAGCTGGTCCAAGTGGCTGGAGAGAAGGAAGGCTGGGCCTCTCAGCTTAGGCTGCTGCCCCCACGACCCAACCCCAGATATATGGATGAAAACGGAGTGATGGATAGATCTGTTATTGCTAGCATAAAATAGCATCCAACAATGATGAGTTCATGAACTGGGAAAATGTCAGATTTTCTATTGCTGCATGGCAGATATGCATTATCAGAATGAAAAAGAAGAAAAAAACGATTTTCAGTTTGCCTGATCCCCGCTTAAGCCACTCATTGTGAAAACTGACCTAATTGCAATTACTGGCTCATTTCTTTGGTGCAACTGTGTGCAAAATATTTATACATGTGATCGAACACAACCTGGCTTATGACCAAACCATAACAGATTAATTATGATGTCACAGTTTCAACACTTTCATCTGTAAGGAGCAACAGACACAACAAGTTTGACCCCTGCAGAAACAACCTCAAAGCAAAGCATGTTGGACTCAAATGTGAATAATGTGGCTTCCGCTAATGGTGCAAAAACTGCAACCTAAGAGCAACCAGTGTCAGCTTCTAAAACATTTCATAAAGATGTTGTCATGTTCCTGAGCCGAGGTGAGTGACAAAATCTTCCATCTCACCATTATCAGGCTGATTTTCCACAGGTGAGGAGCGGAGGGGTTTGCAGCTGCAGAAGATTCCCGATCAGGAACTCGGGTATAAAAGGAGGATGGAGACACTTCACTACGCCGGATGATTGCACCAGTATAGGTAGCCCCAGCCACTCGCTCTTGTTCTTGAAACTCTTATTTTGACATTCGCTTTCTGGATATTATTGGATTTTGAACTCGGACTGCATTTGGATTACGTTTTCTGGATTACCCTCTCATCTGGTGTTTGTTTGCCTTCTCGCAGGGTCTCCACACACCCTGCCTCACCCTCGCTGTTTGAACTCTGGATTACATTCACCACGTCCCATCCTCCTCCGTTGTTCCTGTTTGGACCCTCTCCGCTGCCTCACCAATCCCGGATCATACCTGGACTAAACAGAGCTCACCTCGGCTCTCTCGCCTCTTCCCCCCACCCTCTTGGTTCTCCCTGAACTCTAAATGAACTCGAGCAAGCGATCTACTCCACAGGACTTCCCTGTGCTCTTTTTGTTCTCCTTATAATAAAGACTTTTACTTTAACCAGTTCCACGAGTCAGTTTCTGCATGTCTTGGGTTAAACACATACCTCGAGCCATGACAGATGTCTAGACATTTTCTCATGAGTTCTTTGAAGAAATAAAATGTACCTTATTTTAAACTCAAAAATCTGATTTTATTCATGGCCACAGTCCAGATTTTCAGGTTAACCAAATAGTCATTCCAAACTGGATTCAGTCAAAGTCCATATCCGCAGCTCAGAACTGCCCAAGAATCAGAAATCGGTGTGTGTTCTCGAAGCCTGAACTCTTGCATTTCTAGTGTAACGTCCAGCAACGGTCAGTTTAGGTACTGTTTGACCATTCAACATCTGGTCAAAAAGGAGACACGAGACTGCACGTGCTCCCTTTAAATCAGCCTGCCGTCCTCACACCAGCTGGAGCTCAGAGCCTGCAGCTCTGACAGAGATAACGAAATCATAACAGCAACATTCTCTCCTTCCAATGGCCCTCACAGAGCAACCCTTTTATCTAAGTCTCCTCGCCTCACAGAAGAACAGAAGAAAGAAGATATTTAAAATTAAATATGAACTTCTAAAATTTACAAGCTAGATAATCATTAAATAAATGTTTGTTTACTGCTACTTATAATAATAATAAAATAACGAAATGCTCATTAATCTGTGCTCAATGATATATGTTTCAACATGTTTACTTGACAAGGTCATAACATTTGCACTCACACAAGAACAAAGTAAGGTAAATTTAAATCCATGACACATAATTAGCCTTTGCCCCAGATCAGAGCCTCCGGATCAAAGAAGGTGTGTCTCTGAGATTCTCGGTAATATCCTCAAACTTGTCAACCTCTGGTTGGCTACACAATCATAACATGAGAACATTAAAACCAGATCACTCTGGTGTTTCTTCAGTTGTAGAGAAGCTTCAGGCCGGCCACCTGAAGCAAAAACCCCTTTAACGCACCAAAGCTTTTGACACGTCGTCAAAACCTTTTTACACCTGCGAAGCTGATACAGCAAACAGTTCCTGCAGAACAAGCTTTGTTCAACTCCTTAAGAGCTATTCCTGAGACGCAAACTAGTTCCAACATGTCGTTACCTGGAGATGACTCTGGACTGACCTGGTCGTACTGCAAGTTAGTCTACGGACTTCGGTACCTGGGGGCCTCCGACCCCCCAGACATCTCGGATCCGAAAAGGGCGTCTCCACTTGGGCACGTAGAACACAGTGAGATTGCATCTGATGTGGTTTTTGATAATAACCAACCTCATAGCTTAACGCAAACCAAATTCTTTTACATCCAGAATTCAGCTCTCCAAGATACGGAAGTTCTGACCAACATCTCATTCGTACATCACATCTAGTTCCATCCATCACAGTAAATGCTTAGTTAACTTGTCATGTTTTAATTGTTTGTAAAATAAATTCTTACTTTTATAAACCTGACTGTTTTCTGAATCAAAACGAAGTGTGTACAATCCCTTAATAAATAAAGAATCCTAGAATCTTCTGATTAAAGCACAACAAAGACCAGGCAGGGTAATATTCTATATTTGGATAGAGTATCCCAGCTTATTGGTCATAAGTAGAGGTAATATATATTGAGCTATTAAAGTTCTCGATTTACCAAACCCTACACTATTTTTGGGCGCCTCGTTTTCCTGTGGAGCATTTTCACAGGACCAAAGTCTGAGATGACACATTCCAGCTGAACTATTCTGTTGCAGCTATGTGGGAATGAGGAAATGTGGGTGTTTTGTCTTTGTCTTTAATGCCAAATATGGATCTTTGTTACTGGTTGAGTGATGCTCAAATAAACTGATGACAATTTAGGAAGTCTGTGTACAAAAACAGTTCTGCAGTTTTAAACCAGCTTCGTGTCATCATCTCTATGAACTTTCTACAAAAGGACCACCAAATGTCCCTGCAATCTTTTCTTTTGTCCTTGAAACCAAACACTTAAATTGCTCTGTTTGTTTGCATGTGAGTTAAGAAGTAAAGCAGTAGCAGACAAGACATGAAATGAAAGCCTCCCTTAGAATAATCACTTGAGTCCAAACGGAGATGTAATAAAATCAAGAGCAGAGCTGAGCTAATGGGTTTAGAAACGTCCCGTGGTCACACTGAGGTAACTGCAGGGGTCCATCAGAGGCTGCCTCCTCCGTCCCACCGAGCGTTTACGTCTCTTGAAACTTGGTCACGGGATGAGAAATGCTGTGCACGGCTGCAGAAGCGCACTATCGCAGCGGTGACAGAGAAAGCACGGGCAGTGAGATAACGAGAGCTGATGTCAATCTGAGTTAGAGATCAAATCGATCAGCTGGGACTGCGCCACGGCGCGCGAGGAGGTGAGCTGTCAACAGCTCCTCTAAATCCTCAGCAGCAAACAGGAGGACGATCAGCAGCGCGTGCGTGATTTATGTTGCGTTTGTGTGCGGGAGAAGCTGGAGGACGGACTCACCCAGGACCTAAACTTGCACCGTGCTTCTGGTTCATAGAGACGCTCCGATCACTTGTCGCGGATGGATCCCTCTGCGCTGCGCAGGATGGCGTTCCTCCTCCAGCCTCTCCAGACGCGCAGCTTCCTCCTCCTCTTCCTCCTTCCAACAGCAGCAGGAAAACAGTCACTGCACCTATTTATGCGGCTCAACTGACTAAATATCAGTCTCAAAAATTAGAACCACCTTCTCGTCTCCTTTGTGCAGAAGGGAAGCGGCGGGAGCACCGTGTGTTTAGGGGGAAGCGGTGAGGGCTGCCACCGGCAGCGGCGGGCAGCTTGAGATGATGATGCTCCGGTTATTGGGTTGCATGAGCGTGAGTGCGCTGGCATGTGTGTGTGTTGGGGGGATATAGAGCGTGGTGTGTGTGTTCGTCTGTAAGGAAACCCGGCTGCTCTTCAGAGGGGCTCATCTCTCTCTCTCTCTCTCTCTCTCTCTCTCTCTCTCTCTCTCTCTCTCTCTCTCTCTCTCTCTCTCTCTCTCTCTCTCTCTTCTCTCTCTCTCTCTCTCTCTCGTGTTGCTTTATGCTGCATTCAAGACCAGTGGAAATATTAAGAAATTTGAAATTGTTACCAGCTTCAGCTGAAAAAAGACGCGTGTGTGGAAATAATTATGGAACAAAAAGAAACATGCGCATACAATAAAAAGTTGAAACTAGGAGTTATGCATGTGTCCCTTTGATTTTGTTATGCAGAAAAAATAAAAACATAAAAATATTGACAAAAGACTGATATTTTAATTGTTATGAGAAGCTAAAAATGGTAAATTGATGGTACTGTAAAGTGTTATTTCACCATAAAACGTACGTGACTGACCTATTAAAACAACTTGCAGAAATAGCCCGCACATGCACGTGTTCAATCACACACTCATGCTTTAGAGAATCTTAGCATGAAAATTCACTACACTGATAATGACGTCATATTGCTGCAGAAAAGCTGCATTAAAAAATTATGATGGCATCTAATGGTGTATTTTCACCCTTAGTCTGGCCTTCTAATGACCATCAGGACACAAATGCTTCTCAGCAGGTAAAAAACATGAAAGTTGTGGACTACATGACATAAAGCCATGGGTGTGAAGCTAAGCTGAAGAGTCTTCTGATAGGGAGCTGTCATGAGCTGATGAAATATTGTGGTGCAATTTCTTATTCTGGTTTCTTTCTTGTTTGCACATACACTCCAGCAGGAGGTAACCCGTCTGCCGTTCTTTGTGGCCTAGAGCCCGTCACCTCGAGGCTACACCAGAGTGTTTAGGAGTGAATGAATACCCCAACCCAAAACCTGGTCTCCTGTTATCTATTCAGCTATTCAAGGCCAGAGTATGAGGAAAAAAATATTATTCAAACTGATCTACGTGACCTTGTTGAACTCATGAATGGAGAGTAGCTGATAAAATGCACATCGATAATAAGTCAAAGTTCATCTTTTATCCTCTCTCCGGACTAGAATATGTAGTTTCACCCGTGTACTGGAGGTACTTCTGAAAATAAACCTCCTACACTTTCTGTCCAGCAGCCAAACAAATACAGTCTCCAATGTGGTTAAGTTGACTGCGTGACTCCCACAATAAAAATTCTTAAACATCAGATTGCAAACAAGTGGCTAACATCATGATGGCTGCAGCATCACCGTTAGTCTGCTTGTGTTAAACTGCATTCTTGTGTAATTTGATTTAAAGCTTTCAATTAAAACTCCTCCCTGTCACTCACTCACTCACTCACTCACTCACTCACTCACTCATTATCAGAATCACTCTGTGGGCTGAAGGGAGCTGGTGTCTCTCCGTCTGTCATCAGGCAGGAGGCTGGGAGTGGGGACACCCTGGACAGCTCACGTGTCCTTCACAGGGACACATAGAGACAAACAACCATTCACACACTCACTCACACCTAGGGTTGCCAGTTACCTGGCATGCATGTTTGGTTTTTGTTTTTTTGGACTGAGGGGGAGCATCCAGAAAAATGCATGAGGAGAACATGCTAACTCCACGCTGAGGGGCCCCAGCCGGGATTTGTACCTGCAACCATCTTGCTGCAAGGCAACAGTGCTGCCAACATCTCCCCCCTTCTGTGTTTAATTATTATAAAAATACAAAATTCATATATATAATAAAAATAAATACAGTCCTGCTGCAAAAGGCCAATTTATTTTCCTATTGCCAAAGACAACGCGATTAAATTCAGGGAGATGAAGGAATCAATTCCAACAATTACAGTTTTAGTCTATGGGGATTGCCCTGCAGAGAAAAATATAAATGTTTTTACCCTACAGACTAATGTCAGTCACAGACTGTGTAAACTTAATCCTCTTTGGATTTGACTGAATTGTGGAAGTCAACACAAAACTAAGAATGAGCTCAGAAACTTTCACTAATAGTTGCTTTGGGCCTTTCAGAAAAAGGTCTATAGATCTGAAAATCGGTGTAGTAAAAAGACAGAAAATGCTAAATAAATAAGTCTGAAATCCAAAGATCAATTAATCAATCAATCAATCATCAATCAATCAATATTTTATTAATCCCAGAGGGAAATTAGAGTATCACTACACACAATTCAGAGATCAGACATACATGGGCAAGACACATGACAAGAATTGGTGACTGTGGTCATTCGCAACCCTGAGTCGCGCTACCTTGATAGAGATAAGAGGGTTACATGAGGATTGGTTCAGGTGGAGGGAAAAAAGGCACTTCACAGGTACCCTCCCACCAGGAGAGCAGTTTTGCGCTGCAAAAAACACCTCAACAAATATGCAACAGACTTCAGACAACACAACATAACATGAGACTCCAATAGGAAGGTGTGTGTGTGTGTGTGTGTGTGTGTGTGTGTGTGTGTGGGGGGGGGGGGGCTGGGATCCCTTTTACCCCAGCGAGAGCAGCCATCTACGGCGCTCATCTACTGTACAGTCACAGGTGGGAGGGAGATCTTGGGAGAAGAGAAGAGCACATTGACTCCTGCAGATTGATGACCTCGCCAGGCAGAAGTCCACCAATCCTAAGGCAGGGGGGGGGGGGGGGGGGGGGGCATCTGTCACAGCACCTATCTGCATTCCTTCGTGAGGGTTTGTTGTTTGCCGCTCAAGGCTACCAGGGCGTCAGATTCAGATAGCAAGAATTTGTTTGGGTCAGGCTGAGATAATTTTCCTCTCTGCCTTCAGTCTTTAAACGGATCAATCCAGTCCTTCAGTGAAGCCAATTTTAGGTTTTTAAACCTGTCCATACCGTCCAGTGACCCTCTCTGAGATGACATCCATTTTGCGCACTAATACCGGTATCGCAGCTAGAACATTGTCCAGCTTACAACTCACCTCGAGTAACGTCCCAGTCTGAGAAGTCTCCACACGGACGGTGCTTTCCGTGGGTGCTATCCTCAATGAACAGCTGGCTGAGGCATATGATCTTCCACTCCTTCCAGGAATCCAGCATATATCCCACCGGGTGTGTCCCCTGTGGACATGTGGGAGCCCCCTGCTCCGTTCTCATTGTTGAAAAAATCTTATCAATCGCGTTGAATGACCAGTTTATCAAATCCATGGTTAGTAAAAATAGAGTTTTTCAGAAGAAATGCAGAGAAGCACTCTGTGGGCAGACAGGACAAAGAGCCTTGGGAAAAAAAGATAAGGGAGCGAAAGAGAGGTGTCTGTTCTCCTCGAGTGCCTTGAAGAAAATGTAGGTAAAGGTTCTATAACTGTAGTAAAACAACAATCTGCTCCCTCGAGTTAAACATGGGATTATTTACTTTGTTTTAATTATTTTAACATCATTTCTGACATCTGAACACACAAAGATTGCCCCTTTGTTAACTTTGTGAGCTCACTAGAGGTTTTCACTTTGGCCTTTCAGAAAAAAAACTCTCAGTTTGAAACCATCTAAAGAACTTTGTGAGTTCTCACTAAGACGGTGCAGGTTTATCCAACAGTCCAAAAACAAGCAGGTTGCCTTTAATAGGTGGTTCTGAATTGATGTACAGTGGGTGTTATGGAAATGGTTACAGATGTACAGGAATATATAAGTCTATTTCTGTCCCCATGGGGGGCAGAATCCTGCTTTACGGCTAGAAAAATGTACAAACCTTAAACAAACAACATGAACGTTTTATATGGAAATGGACACAATGTCACATGGGGGAAACTGCAAGTCTCTTTTCTTGTGTGAAACTCAAGTAAAACTGTTATTTCTTTTCCTGTAAAGGTGGCATGGTATGAAGGAACAACTAGAAAACAGGAGACACTCATAGCCTCAGATTTTCTGATGTTTTAGTTCCAACCCAAAAGATACAGAACTTTTCAGGTGCAGATTTCATGACCTGGTACGTGTTCGCCAGCTGATTAGGATTATCTGAACAGCCTCTCTTTGCCTACTGAATAATTCAGGCTGATTCCCTTCATCAGGGCTGAGTGGGCTGAGTGAAGTGGATGCATCAGAGGTAGATCAGAGGTGTGGGTTTTATCTGGCCCCTAAAGCACAGGTCAAATATCAAACTGGGAATCTGAGCTTGTCTGTTCCTGAAAAAGTTCAGTGACTGACATCAAACTGATGTAAAGTGAAGGTTAATCTGCAGCAGAAACAGGAGAAAATGCACACATCCTTTTTTAATGTGTATTTTTAGTTTAGAAAACAGAATCACTACAGATCAGATGAACATCTAATCAGGGGCGGCGTTAGGCCCGGCTATTGGGCTGAAGCCCCGGATGTTTTATGAAAAGCCCCGGATCTAAATCGTGGAAGTAACGTGCAGTACCAAAGTCCAACAGAGAGGGAGCAGCTGGCAGTAGTTTGTATACAGCCTGCCTGAGCCTCCACCACTGACGAAGCCCTTCAGCAGCCGGCTTCTTCTACACTCTCTGCCTGAAACGTATGAGTGAAGATGGACATAAGGACGTTTTTTAGACCAAAAGTACGGCGACAGAACCCCAGCTTTGATGAGACTGGTGTTGACTCAGGTTTGTGAGTCTTATTTGAAAATATTTGTTGTGCTGCTGGTTTGCCTAAAGTTAGCTTACTATCAGGTAAAGTTGTTGGAGAAAGAAAGGGAATATTTACTATCATCTCACACTAAACACTACCAGGAACAATACTCTGCCCTGAATATGTTTAATATGAAGCTTCAGATTAAAAATTATGTGGTACAAGACATATATATATGATGTTGTTGACTAGTGCGTGTCACGTGTGTGTGTGTGTGCGCGTGTGTGTGTGTGTGTGTGTGTGCGCGCGTGTGTGTTAAGCCCCGGATCTTCTTCAGTCCTAAATCCGCCCCTGCATCTAATGATGTATGTGAAGCAATAAGGGGTGTGCAAACATTTCTGGATGAGGCCCAAAGTTGCTATGTTAACAAACTTTGTGGGCAGCAAAGATGTAATTTTATTTTAAAAAATGAAAAAATTATTTCATGGAGA